AGTTAAAGTCACTGCATGAAATGGTGTGTTGGAAAAGATACTGAAGCTGCCTTTTAGGCTAAATAGAAAAGAGAACCTTGGCCCATTAGTAATGTCTGCCCTTGGCACAGATAGGAAGTGGTGGCAGACATGCTGGTAGATTCACTAGCTAAGGACGCGATTGCCCCTAAGTTGAAGTCAGACAATTCAGTTTAAGCTGATCCCTTTTGCCTGGGAGGAGACAGCAAGGAGCCTCACCTTTCATCTGTGAGTCTTAGGAAAGATGGAAAACATTAGCTTACAGTAGCTGACAGGCAATGAAATAAAAATGAGAAGTTGGCATTTTATCCAAAATGCAAGCTGTCACAATCAGTCAAAAGGTAGAAAAGAAATTGAACTCTTGCCTAATGGGAAAACGGAGTCAACTAAGTCCACTGCAGTTCCCTCGGTGATCCAGCAAATATTTAATGAGCACTTCTTCTGTGCCTGGCAGTTGGCTGTGTGCTACAATTTCATTGAACCAGTCTATATAGATGGAATTTCTATCTTCAAGGAGCTAACAATTCAGTAAAGTGAGCAGGAAACCCAAAGATCTAACACAATTAAGAAATAAGCAGGATGTTTAGAGTTATGCTAGATAGTGGAGTAGGGGTTTGTCAGGGCAACTTCTCTGTGTTAATCAGCTTCGTGTTACTGTGATGAATTGCCCGAGTCAATTAACTTTATAAAGAGGAAAAGGTTGTTTAGTTCATAGTTTTGAAGGTTTAAAATCCAAATAGCATAGGGCAGGGTTGGTGAGGGTCGCCCCGTGACTCTGTCACCACTTGCCATGAATAGCAAAGGCAGGGAATGTGTGTTGGAGCAAAAGATGCCTTCAACTAGAGCAGGAAAAGAGAAAACCCATCAGAATTCCACAGTCCCTTTAGAGGACACATCCCCATGACCTGAGCACCTCCCTCAACACCCCGCCTCCAGAAGTTTCCACTGCTTCCCAGGAACATCACACTGAGCACCAAGATTTTACATATGGACCTCAAGGAGTGCTTAACATGCAAAGTGGGACAATCTCTGAGGAGGTGACTTTAAAGGAATGCTCTAAACATGAGTGAAACATGAGTGCTATATACACCAATAATACCATTGTCAATATTCATGAACAAATTTTGTACAGCTGTACATTTTTCTTTTTTGGTATATACCTAGGAGGGCAATTGCTGAATCATATAGTATTAGGTTAACCACTAGACTGTGTTCACAAAGCAGCTGTACCATTTTACATTTCCACCAGCAGTTTAAAAAGGATCCAGTCTCCACAGCCTCGTCAGCACTTAGCGTTGCCTGTCTCTTTATTCTATCCATTCTAGTGAGAAAGGAGTGCTATCTCACTGTAACTTTAGTTTGCGTTTCTTGATGGCTAAGGGTGTTGAGCATCTTTAATTAGCATCTATGCTAAGTAGAACTTGTATCTTTGGTGAAATTTCTATTTAGATCTTCTGTTTATTTTTAATGGATTTGTCTTTTTATTACTGGAATTGTAATAGTTTGTTATATATTATAGATACAAGTACTTTATGAGACATGTGATTCACAGATACTTTCTCTTTCTGTAAGTTGTATTTTGACCCTCAGTGGTGTCCTTTGATGCACAAATTTTTATGTTTATTCTATTTTTCTTTTGCTTTTCATGTTTCTGTCATCATATCTAAGACTTGGTTGTCAAATCCAAAGCCATGAGGTCCTGTAATGCTATACTCAATTTACTTGTATTTTGCTAGGAATTTTTGCATCTACATTTATGAGAAATGTTGTTTTGTAATCTTCTTGTCTATGTTGTTTTGGTATTGAGCTAACACTGGCTTCACAGAACAAATTGGTAAATATTCTCGTCTATATATTTTAGAAAAATGTGAAAATTTCAATTTCTTTTTTTAGTTTTCTAATTTTCGTAAAATATATTAACATAAATTTTGCTCTTTGAAACATTTTAATTGTCCAGTTTGATGGCATTAAGTACGTTCGATTTGTTTTACAACTGTCACCATACCATCCATCTCCAGAACTTTCTTCATCTTCCAAACTGGAATTCTGTTCCTCTTACAGACACTTTTTTCTTCTTTAAATGTTTTGTGGACCTCACCCAACATGCAATGAAGGTATGTGATACTGGGTTTTCCTTTGTGAATTTTTAAAATTATTAATTCAGTCTCTATACTAGTTATAGATTTATTCACAGCTGCTTCTGCTTCTTGAGTTCATTTGCTGAGTTTTGTGTATATCTATAAATTTGTACATTTCATTGAAGTTGTCCAGTTTGTGAGCATTTCATTGTTCATATTATGCCTTGATAACTCTTATTTCTGTAAGATCAGTATTAATGACCTCATTTTCATTTCTGATATTGGTACTTTGAGTCTTTCCTCCCTCTACCCACTTCAGACTTTGGTCATTCTAGATAGAGGTGTGGTTTTTTAAGTTGTTGGTTTTTGGGTTTTGTTTTTGTTTGTTTGTTTTAGCCTTTTCAAAGAACTGACTTCTTAATTCACTGACTTTTCTCTACTACTTTTCTATTCTTTGTTTCTCAATTTCCACTCTAATCTTTATTTCTTTATTCCTTGTTCTTACTTAGGATTTAAATTGCCCTTCTTTTCAGCATCTGAAGGTGGAATGTTATTTGTTGATCAGAGGTATTCTTTTTCTTCTTTTAATGTAGCCATTTACAGCTACACATCTCCCTCTGAACACTGGTTTAGCTGAATCTCACAAACTTTGGTATGTGTCTTCCTTTTAACTCATGTCAAAGTTATTTTTTAAATTCTTTTATGATTTTCTGTTTGACTCATGGTTATTTATTAGTACACTGCTTTATTTTTATGTATTTGTGAAATTTTCAAAATTTCTATTATTAATTTCTAGTTTCACTTCATTGTAATCAAAAATATACTTTGTACAACATCAGTCATCTAAAATCTGTTGGGAGTCATTGTATGGCCTAACATACGCTCTATTTTGGAAAACATTCTCTGTATGCTTGAGAAGAACATACATCCCACTGTTGTTAGCAGAGTGTTCTGTGGATGTCTATTGGGTCTAACTCATGTTTGATGTCATTCAGGTTTTCTATTTCCTTTTTATCTTTTGTCTGGTGTTTCTATATGTAATTGAAAATGGAATATTAAAGTCTCCAGTTGTCACTGTCCTCTCAATTTCTTAGCCTGAGTTTACATATTTTGAAACTCTATTCTTAAGTGCATATATATTTAATTGTTATGACTTTCTAAAGAATTAACCCTTTATCATTATAAAATGGTACTTTTCTCTCTAATGACACTTTTTCCTAATCTATTTTTTCTAATACTATTTTATGGCCGCTTCAGCTTTCTTATAATAGTGTTTGTATAGTAGATACTTTTCTATTCTTTTCTTACAGCTTTGGTTCCCAAGTGAGACTCCTCTAGACAGTACATAGTTGGATCTTGTTTTTTCCCCAAGTCGGCAATCTCTGCCTTTGATTGGCTTGTTTAATAGGTTCACATTTGACAGAAATATTGATAAAGTCAGATTTACATCTGCTGTCTTACTTTTTACCTTGTATCTGTCTCACATCTTTTTGTGTGTGTTTTCCTGTATTTCTCCTTTTTGCTGTAAGTGAATATATTCTAGGGCAATACAGTAAACCCCAACTTTTGAACAAGTTTCATTTTGGGAGAACATTAGTAAGTTGAAGTCATTTGTGAGTCTGACAAAGTGAGTCTTATATACTTTTGACACAGATATACAATGTGAAGCATAAAAAAACCCAAGCACACCCATAAACATACAGTAAGTCTCCGACTGTACTGTACTATCGTACACATGAACACAGGGCAGCACAGCTGTCTCGCAGCAGACACGTGAGCTACTTCCGTGATTTGTTCACACCTATGAATGTTCCTAATACGAGGTCCCTTCATGTCTATGAAACGTGAATGTTCCTAAGTCATAGATTTGCTGTATTTCAATTCTTTTTATGACTTAACCCCATATTTGTTTGAGTTATGTTCTGAGTGGTTGCTCTTTACCATATATATCTTATCAGACTCTACTTACTAGTTATACAAACTTGATCCAAATGAGAAGCAAGCTACCCCAGTCACTCCTATATGACTGTATTCTTTCTTCCCTCTTTTTGTGCTATTAATATTATGCAGTAGAGAGCTTTTTACCCAGCTTGTTATGGTCGAGGCCCAGAGAGGGCCTGGCTCAGTCATGTATTGGCTGCATGACTCCAGGTGAGTGATCTGATACCCTTGAGGCTTAATATCTCTGCTTGTAAAATGAGAATTGGATGAATGTAACTCCAAACATGAAATGAGATCTTGGCACTAAGACTACCCATAAGAGGGGCTCTGAAAACTGGGCTGGATGTGGGCCTCATCTTTCGTTCCAGCAGCCCACTTAGCCTGGCCTCCTCAGATCAGAAGCCAGGAAGGGTGCGTGCCTAGCCAGAAGCCAGTGTGTGTCTGTCCAGGGGAGCATCTTCCAGTGAACTACAGGAGGCAAGGTTTGGGTCTCAGGCAGGGACAACATACTGGCCTTATCCTCCTCATCACTGCCCTCTGTGCATCTCCTTTCCCTTCTCAACACCTTGGTAGAGTTCTGTCAACCTCCCAGCCTACTAGAGTCCTGTCTAGTACTGAGAGAGACCCATGAATTCTAGTCTCAGCTCTGCCACCAATCTGTTTTGTGGCCCTGGACAAGTCTGTTGTCCTCTCCGTGTTTCCCTTTTCCTCTCTGCAAATTAGTTGTCCTCCTGGGGCAGAGGCTTCAGAGCAGGAGAAAGACGTTCCCTTCTGCAGGCAGTGAGGTGAAGCACAGATCCATTCCTTCCTCCTTAGAGGAGCAGCCAGGAGACAATCTGTGGGTCTGGCCCAGATTATCCTCCATCATTTCAGGACAAGTGAGTCACAGGGCAGCAGAGGTGGAGGAGAAAAGCATTCGGTAGGCCTGGGCCTCTGCTCAGAGTCCTCTCTGTCTGTCCACAGTAGCACGATACAACCGCACCAGCTACTTCTACCCCACATTCTCAGAGAGCTCGGAGCACAGTCACCTGCTTGTGTCTCCTGTGCTGGTGGCGAGTGCTGTCATAGGTGTGGTCATCATCCTCTCCTGCATCACCATCATCGTGGGCAGCATCCGCAGGGACAGGCAGGCCCGGCTCCAGCGTCACCGCCATCGTCACCACCGGCGCCATCATCACCACCGCCGGCGACGCCGACATCGAGACTACGAGCACAGCCACGGTGAGCAGCTGCCCACCTGGGGCACTGGGATGGCTGCCCCTTGGGACTAAACCTGGGAGGCTTCGGGGAGGAGGTTGCTCTGCCATAGGTGGGACTGGGTGGTCCGCAAAGGTGCCCTGCTTGTCTTGGTCATCAGAAAGAGTGCCCCACCATGGTGTGCTCTGTAGCATGAGAGCCCTGTGTGGTGTGCCAGGAGGAGATTCCAGGTGAGGCTGAAGCCTAGGGCAGGAGTGTTTTATATTTCCCGGCCGGTACCAGAATGGAGGCTGCATGGAGAGATGGATGGGTGGTGGGTGAATGAGTGAATGAATGAAGATGGAGATGAACTGGTGGGGGATGGATGGTAAGGGCTTGAGTGCGTGGATGTGGAAGGGATGGATGGGTGGGTGGGTAGATGGAAGGGGGATGCCACAAGGGCAGGCGGCCAAGTAGGATAAAAGGGATGCACCAGTAGAGGATGGAAGGTGGGTAGACAGGCAAGCAGAGGGTAGGTGGGGTGATTGGCATGAGTTGGCATTTGAATAAGTGAATAGAAGAATGGATGGTGTGAATGAGCAGTAAACAAATCTATCCCAGAAGGCTTGTGAAGTGCAAATACAGAGAAATGATTTGAGGGTCTCTCAGTTAGGAGAATCACCCTGAAACCCGGTTGGTGGCTAATTCTTAAGGCACTGATCCTAGAACTGTCCATCTGGCCAGCGTGCTGCCATCTGACTCTCGTTCCTGGCAGGGATCAGGTGTCTAAAAACAGCAGGAAAGAACTCAGTTGCATTCAATTCTCAGACAGTTTTCACTGGCAAGAAAAGACAGACCCTTGCCCACAGGAGCCTGTGCCAAGCCTGCCAGGCTCTACCCGGGGACCAAGACCACACTGCAGGTAGGCACAGACAAGCAGGTGGAGAAGTGCAAAATCCTAGCAGTGCCCTGAACACTGCAGATGAAGTGACTGAAGTTCCCCTGGGGGTAGGGGGAGCCCAGGTGTCTCCCCCCCTAGGAATCTGGGAGAAAGCAGGACAAAATTTCAGATGGATCAAATTAGGTCTAACCAGCCTGGGACATTTGGAGACCTCTCATCCCTCTCCCTGCACACCCAGGTTAACCAGCAGGAACTTCCTCTTTTCACAGAGTTCACTGGTTAGGGATGGTGCCACCTATTAGCAATTAAGCCAGTGAACAGAGGGGACTTGGGGTACTTGCGATGGGTAAGGAGCGCTTGTGATTGCCTAGCACTTTCTGTGCAGGATTTCATTGTGCAGAATCCTCACCATGACCCAGAAATGGCTACTTTTTATCATCACCCCAATTTACAGATCAGTAGAAGAGATTGGAGTAATTCAGTGAAAGAGGCTGGGATCACCCAGCCAGGGAGCAGTGGATCCGTGCGTGACATGAGCTCCTGCAGCCCAGCCTGGCTGTGCTGGGGCTGAGCACTACACAGCGCTGCCTGGCAGGACTGAGTGGTCACCACCCTGGGAAGGAAGGGCAGGGAGAGGTGTCAGCAGCTCAGGCAGGGTCCGCAGATGCTCCCATGGCCGGTGCCTTCACACCTGGCTGTCCCTCCTCTGGAAAAGCTTGAGAAGAGAGGAGGGCAGACCTTTGGACACAGAGGCACAAGTGGCCCCAGTGGAAGAAAAACAGCCAGTTAGTAGTCAGCTGTTGATGAGGACTAAAGAGAAAGACCGCCATCCAGGCCCACAGGTTTCCCCAGAAGCCAAGGACCCCTCAATAGGACCAGCCAGGAGCATTGCCTGGGACAGGCATTGCTCAGCCCACTCTTGTGTCACCAGCCTGACCCAGGAGGACCAGGGTTCCTGCTCAGAGCATTCCCTGCTCCCAGGAGGAACCCAGTCACCACCGTCAGCCAACCCACCCCAGATGGTACTGCCCACCTGCCCCTTGAGCCTGACCCTTGCTCTCGGCTCCTCTCAGCTCCTCTCCAAGTGCCTGTCCACATTCCTTGTACCCCAGTCCCTTTGCAACTGCTCTGCCCTCTGCCCAGCTGCTGTCTCCTTCCTTCCTCAGCTACCAAAGCCATCCAGGCCCAAGTTGAATGCCACCTCCTTTGGGAGCTTCTGTGGCCCCTCCTTACCCCTACCAGGCAGTGTTGAACCAGAATTCTCCTCCCCTGAGCCTCCTCGACGTTGTCCATAGGCTCTATCTGAGCCTCAGTCATGGATGATGGTGTGGCTGACTCCACACTGGGCCCAGGGTCCAACCAAGAGGAGGGTGCTCCCAGGACAAGAGACTGAGCCACCTCATTCCACCCTCACAGCAATATGTGACAGGCACCCAGTCAGGGGCCACCATCACTCTAGAGGTCAGCCTTGGTCTTGCAAAAGGAAACAGAGGCAGGCCAGCCTCTCTGTGGACTGTGATGGCCTCAAGACCAATGCCACATGACCTTGAGCACAGGCAAGGTGCCCAGAGGTTACAGTCATGCCACCTTGAGATCAGTCCATTGTGTGCAGTGTTGACTCACAGTGCACTGCAGCCAGTGGCAAAGGCCACCTCTTTGTGGGGTTCCTGCCTCCCCACCCCACTTCTGTTTGTTGCTCCTCGGGCGCTGGCCCCTCTAGGCCTTGGCAGGAAACCTGAGGTGGCGCAAGCCCACACTTTCCTTGCTTCTGAGCAGCACGCCCAGGAGCTGCAGGGAGCATGAGGCTGTAGGAAAAAATGCTGTGGACAAACGCCCAGAGTGGAAACCCCATCTGTCCCAGGCCCTCCTGGCTCTGGTGCCTGAAACCCTCCAGTGTCTCTGCTGCCCCCTGGCTGCTCCCTCTCAAGACATTTTTGGAGATTCCTCCCTTCGGTCCCTTGCGTGACAGAGTCCAACCCCGGTACTGATCACTGACTTCCTGCTCCATCTTACCTGCCCACCAAGGTCATCATGCTCTCTGCCCTCCCGCAGCTCTCCAGCTCTGGGCCAGGGTCCCTGGATACCACGCCACGAGGGCCACAGGCACCTCGGACTCAGGGTGTCCAGAGTACCTCCTCTCCCCTTTTTACTCTCAAACCTGGGCAAAGTTGCCTAAGCTCTCTATCTCAGCTGAGGAACATGGGGATCTACCTCTAAAAGTTATCGTGAGCCAGGCATGGTAGCTCATGCCTGTAATCCTAGCGCTCTTGAGGCTGAGGAGGACTGCAAGTTGAACCCAGGCTGTGCAGTTTAGTAAGATCCTGTCTCAAAATAGAAAAAATATAATGGGCTGGGGATAGAGCTCAGTGCAAAGGCCCTGGGCTCGATTCCCAGTACTGGGGGGAGGGGGGATTGAGTTATTGCAAAGATCATATTAGTTAGTAGTGAGTCAGTGCTCAGCGACTGTGAATCATGTTCCCTTCTGACAAAACCTGCTTGCAAGTCACTGCCTTTACTTCTGCCAGAAGCCAGCCTGGCCCTCCAAGGCACTGACCGCCAGGCAGCCCGCCCCACAATTGGGCTTGACCACGTCAGTCCTCTCTGCTCAGCAGCCCTGCGCAGCTCCTGTTGTCCTCAGCACATCGTCTGCCTGCCACTCTGCCCAAGGGGCCTTTCTGCAGTCTGGCCAGACAGAGAGGAGCCAACAGATAACAGGGAAAAAGGGAGGGAGAGACCGTTTGGTAAGATGGAAAAATGAGGAGCTTTAAGAGAGACCTGGTGACCGCCTGTCTGTCTCCCCCAGACCTCAGCCCTCAGCCTTCTTATCTAACGGGGGAGCAGTGGCCCTGGGCACAGGTTCTCCTTCCTTTTCCCCAGCCTCCCTTGACAGGCTCATGGATTGGGCTCAGTGATGAACTGAGGTATTTCCTAATTTTGGCGAAAGAGGCATAAGGAGATGTCACCTTCCGTGGGGTGCAACCCAAAGCCTCTGGAGGCCACACGGTCAGTGTCTGCTGGCAGAGGGAAGAGGAAGGAATCTTCCCCCCACTCCCAGGAGGGGAGGAGCTGGTCTCCCCGCTGCCCAGCAAGGAGTCAGGCTGAACTTGATCCCTCCCTATTGAGGTCTGAGCTGGGCAAGCACCTCAGGGAAGCCCCAGTTTCCCCGAGATGCCCAGCTTGTGGAAGCCCCAAAGAAAGCAACCTAAGAAGAAGGATAAAGAGCAGTTTGGCTTGGCCCCGCCAGCCCTCTCAGGTCTAGAAGCAGCCCTGGTTTCCAGGGGTTCCCGCTGGCAGCTGCAGCCTCCCCACCTGCAGGTGAGGCCTCCACCAGGACAGAGCTCTTCTCCGGCAGCCCTGGGCTCGGGCTCCGGAGCCCAGCCACCCTGCCTCAGCCTGCTGCTCTCACCTTTCCGGGGTCCTGCCCCACATCCTTCCCAATCATCCATCCTAAAGGAGAACAGATCTCTCCCCAGCTCATTTTACACCATGTGTTATTGGGTTCATTTTTCCTAGTAGAAATGTAATACATCTTCATTGTAGAAAACCTTAAATGTACAGGCAATTTAAAGAAGAAAATAAGGGTCAAGATCTCACCATCTGGACAGAGCCTCCATAATGGGTGTAAATATTTGCCTCTGAGAGCTTTCTCTGTGTATTCCTATAACCTGGAGTTAGACCTGCCCACAGTTTCAAGTCCAGATTTTTCTGCCCCTGTCAAATCTACAGTGGAAAGAGAACCTAGGGGAAAAAAAGAGATCTGAGCTTGTGCAAAATGCTGGAATTCCTTTCCATACCTTACCAGGTGTGTGACCCAGAGCCTCAGCTTCCTGGTCTGTAGAATGGGCTGAATGCTGAGCCTCAGTCCTGGAGCAGAGGAGCCTCATGGGAACACTTCCAGATGGGGAGGGCTCAAACCTAAGCCATCTTTACAGCTGCTGTGACCAACCTTAACCAAAACTGGAGGGTGGGACTGCTTAGAAAGTAAGGAGCCAAGACACGCAGCTGCCTTCTAGCCCTAGCAGCCACTTTATGGCCTCAAGCAAAGTTACTGGGCCGCTCTGAACCTCAGCTGTAGAATGAGAAGATTGTGCTCTAGCAGCATTCCTGACGGAGTTACTAGGTAAGAAATTGGAGGTTCTGTGGTCGACAGATGTTGGACCTGCACAGTTAATGGTCCTGCTCAGCTGCAGGACTTGTCAGAGCCTTTAGTATATTAATGTGTCATTAAACAAAAACAGAGTGGAATGCAGTATGTAAAGTCAGCAGATTCACCACAAAAGCCTCTCCCCCCACTAAAAGGGAACGGGGTGTAGTTGAGGTAGGGAAGTGTAGGAAGGCCTGATCCCAGGCACCTCTGCAGCCCTCATTCCTGGCCACTGTCCCCATTTTCCACACCCCCTCTCCAGCTCAGTGCTTCTGGTTCACACGGCTCTTCTTTCTCATCTCCCCGCGTGGCTCACACTGGTGGGTGCCCTCCTTCAGGCCACCCCTCTTCCCCTGGCCCTTCTGACAGCCCCTCCTGTTGGCTGCTCTCCCTCTCCTGTCCCTCACATCCACCTGCTAACTCTGTAAAAGCCGTAACACACTGTGCAGGACCAGGCTGTGCCCCTGCTCCTGCTCTGGGACCCGTGCCCAGCTCAATGTCGGTGCTCACACCTGGGGCTGTCCTGATGCTGGGACACAGGCTGCCATGTGTGGTACGAGGATGGCCGGGTGGAGAGCAGAGCCGCGGTGGCCTCAGGCAGACCCTGGCACTGGCCTGAGGCCCAGGCTGCTGGTCTGTGCCCTGCAGTTTCCGACGGGCACACGTACAGCCGCTCCAGCCACAGGATGCGCTCGGCCTGCAGCCCCACGGAGGACTGGCCCCCGCCCTTGGACATCAGCTCTGATGGGGATGTGGACGCCACGGTACTCAGGGAGCTGTACCCTGATTCTCCACCAGGGTAAGGAGGGCACATCTGGGGGGCCAGAGGTGGAGCTCTGGGCGGGAAGACATCCCCGTCAAGGGTAATGGGACTGCATCTCCACTGTACAGGTGCAGAAACACTGTCGGTGTGGCCATCTCCTCACCCCTGGGACAAGAAAGTCCCTTAGAGGTGGGGTATGACTCAGCACATGTCAGCAGGATGCATTAATGGAGACAAACTTCGCTCCTACAAGCTGCAATATAGTAGGCAGCTATTCTGAGCTCCATGGGGGTCTGCCGCCCCATTTGTCTCCCTGGAGGGCTTACACTAGAGGAGGGTCAGGTTATTCCAAAACCCACTGTGCTCCCATCTGTAGCACCGGGAACCCCCCCTCACCCCTACAGCCAGTCTGCCTCAGTGGCTGCAGACAAAGCCACAAACGCCCCAGGCTCCGCCAGATCTTGTTGCCTGGCAGGTCTTGTGGAGGAGGAGAGGTCAGCCTTGCCTTCAGTCCTGGCCTTCTTCGCCCTACCCCCACCCCTGCCTCAGCTGTTTGGCCAAACCCTGACCCCAGTCAGCTTGGCCAAGGTGGAGGGTCCTTGGCCTCTCCCCCTACCCATCATGCCTGAGACAAATCCAACACTCAGCTCCAACTCAGGAAGAACTCTGCTTCCCAGGGACCCCAGACTCCTTCCCGGGACACCTTGACAGTGATCAGAAGCAGCCCCATGCCAGGCATGGTTGTGCACACCTTTACTCTTAGCTACTCAGGAGGATGAGGCAGGAAGATCACAAGTTCAAAGCCAGTCAGCAATTTTGTAAGATTCTGTATCAAAATATAAAAAGGGCCACAGATGTAGCTCAGTGGGAGAGTGCCCATACGTTCAGGCCCCAGTACCAGCGGGGAAGAAGAAGAAGAAGAAGCCCTGCATGGCCTTTTCATTTAGATGAGCTAAACAGACAGAGTCCCCTGGGGCCCAGCTCCTGACCTCGGGTCCAGCACTCCCACATGCACAGGGGCGTCCTGAGACTCAGCCTCAGGAACTGTAAGATTTCTGTCCAACTCTCAGCCTCAACCCCAGACCTTCACAGTATTGTCTCCCAAAAAAAAAAAACCAGTAAGTAAGGAATATCTGCTCCTATTGTACAGAAAGGCAGTGGGTATGGAGCCTGAAGGAGGGAGTCAGGCTGGTGTCCAGGGTTCCTGGAGACCCCAGGGAGAGTAGCAGTGGGAAGAAGAGGACAGGCTGTTGGCTGGACATTAGGGTCCTGCTCCCAGGATGGGAGATCCAGGCCTCAGCTCCTTAGCATGAGCCCCTAAATCCAAAATCACATCATAGGAACACTCATGGCCTGTCTAGGGGTGCTTCTCACAGGGGTGTGAGTTCTCTCCCCCAGATACTCGCAGGCAGACCATCAGTAGTTCTAAAGAGGGAGGAGGGGTCACCCCATACCCTTCCCTACCTTAAGACCCATTGGGCCGCACACAGAGAGAGCATCATCCTCCCCTGCCCTGGGGCACTGAGAGGGCACCAGGACTTTCTGCCCACATCTGTAGCTCAGAGAGATCCCAGGAATTCATTCCTCACCTACAAGTGATCTGAGCGCTTCCTACTCAGCCCTACCACACACAGCACCCTCTTGGGACATCTCCCTGGGCAGGGGCTGCTCTTGTTCTGAAGAATCTGAGACCCAGAAAATGAGTTCCCAAAGAACATGAGGACGAAGTAGGTCCTGAGCCCAGATCTGGGGTAGCAGGGCACCCTCCCCAGAGAGCGGTGGGGCTTATGGAGCCAGCATGGGCAGCTCATCACTGCAAATAAAGAAAGGGACCCCACACACACCCTGAGTTCACGGAGCCCTGAGAGAACCTCTTCTTTTGTAGCTACGAGGAGTGTGTGGGGCCAGGAGCCACTCAGCTGTATGTCCCCACGGATGCACCACCACCCTACTCACTCACCGACTCCTGCCCCACCCTGAGTGGCGCCCTTGGCTCAAGCCCCAGTGGACACCAGCAGGAGCAGAGGACCGGCGCCCAGAGTGGCTTCCGCACCGTCTCCATGGACACGCTGCCCACTTACGAGGCCGTGTGTGGCACTGGCTCCCCGTCAGGCCTCCTGCCGCTGCCGGGACCAGAACCAGGGCTAAGGAACTCACAGGGCTCAGCCAGCCTGACCCGGGCTCCAACCGCAAGCCCAGAGAGGATTGTGTGAGTGACCCAACCCACCAGGTCCTGCTGGTCCCTCCAGGCTGAGCCACATCCTTCAGGCACATTTGGGCACACACAGGCACACACAACTCATGCATACACATTTACATGATCACACACAGACACTCACATCCCATGTGCACACACGGACACAGACATGGCCCACACTCGTGCGGACATGTGCACACACGGCCCCACACTCACTCAAAACCTACCTGCGAAGGTTTTATTGAAAATGAAGGTCTCGGCCTCCTGCCGCCTCCTCCCCGACCTGGTGGCTGTTCCTCTGTGGACAGTGCTGAGCAGAAGGGCAAAGCAAGAACCAGGCTTTCTCTGCCTTCTCCCCGGGCCTCACCTGGAACATTGGGTCCAAATTCTGATTCTGCCTCCAGAAACTGCTTGACCACCTGGATCAGTGCCTGCCCTGACCTCTAGCCCAGGGTTTGTTCCCTGGAAGGTGGGCCAGGCCCCAGTGAGGTCGTGCTGTGCTGTGCCGATCTCTCAATCGCAGGGCAGAAGAGCCACCACATCACCACCCTGCCACTTACAGGGTGGGGACAGCCCACCAGGCTCCTTTCTAACCCAGAGCCCTCAGGCTGGTGGTGCTAGTGCAGTTATCGAAGAAGCCACCCCCAGCTACAGCTCGGGGTCAGGGCCCCAGGTGGGCGTGTGATGGAGGAGCCTGGTTACAATGGTTCCCACATGGGTCCGGCACTGCCCAGAACAGAGCCTTCAGAGAAGACAGGGCCAGTGCCGTTGCCCAGGAGACCTCACCAAAGTGCTGTGTGGGCATCACTCTAAGGCAGATAAGGGCCCCTGGCAAAGTGCATGCCCAGCTAGCCACAGTGGCCTGAGCTCAGATGGACTAGAGCCACAGCCCAAGAGCTGGCACTGTCAACCCAGGTAGCAGCTACAGCTGGGGACAGTGCACCAACACATTCTGGCCTGGGCCTTCCAGAGTGTATGTAGAGAGAAGCTAAAGGGGCTATGAACACCATAAACACCAACCATCATGCCACTACCAGAGGACCAGTCTCAGCTCTGCTGCCAGGGTCCTTCCCCAGCAGGGGGTGTGTGGTCAGCCTGGCTGGGGAAAGGCTCAGTGCTTGGTCTGTGAACTCTGCAATCCCCATCAGAAAACAAGTAGGGAACAGCAGTGATTCCTGAAGACCCAGTTGCCAGGGGTGACAGCCAAGCATCTCTGCAGAGTGTCCCCGCCAGTGTGTTGGCAGGGAGCAAGTAACCCTGGCTCCCTCTCATTCCCCCTTTATCCTCAAACAGCAAACGCCCCTTACCCCCCACCCCCACCCCCTCCACATACACATTTCATTTCCTCCAGTGAAGGGCTAAGACAATTCAGTAATCCCTTTCTTAAGCAGAGGGATGGTAAGGACGGTGATCTTGAATTTTATTTTCTGTTGAAATAGCATTTCTTCTGGTGCAGAGCCGAAAGGAATCCACCCAGAGGGTCTGTAGTGTCCTGTGTGTCGCATCATGGAGTCCCAGACTCCAGCTCGGGGAGGGACATTGTTTACAAGCAGTTCTGTCCACCTCTGTGGTGTACTGTTTTCTAGGCAAAAACATCTGTCTGTCGTACTGTATAGCCTTTAACATGCACCCCAGGGATGAGACTCTTTCAGGAAACGCATCCTGTATCTGTGACTCTGGAGTGCTGGGGGGAGATTAAAATCCCTGCCTGCTCATCAGCGTTTGAGAGGCGGAGCTGAGCAGCTTTTCTTATTCCTGGATTAGGCGCTGACTAAGCAACAATGTATCTTTTCTGTGTTGGAAATAAATATATCAATAAAAATGTAGCAAGAAGTAACACTTTGAGCAGTACATGGGGGCCCAGGGGGCAGAAACATGAAAGAGAAAGAAGCCCAATCTGCAACAGTCTGAAAGTTTAGGTCCCTGTAGCTTGCGCGCCATGCCCATGACATCTCAGGGTTAGGTCACTGAAGTGTCACTTTCCTGTTGGAGTGACCAGCCGGGTAATGAGAGAGGTACAGGAAGAGTTCCTGTTTTGTTTTGGGGCCTCATTGAGACATGGAATTCTTTCTCTGAGACTTGCTGGTGTAAATGTCACTACAATGGACCGTCAACTTCAGGACTTAACTCCAGGAACACTGGGGACCACAAGTTACTTTAACAATGATGGGCTTTCTTCACCCTGATCACATACACTACCGAGAGACGGGAAATTGTAATTAGACTGAAACGAGTTGTTTACTTCCACTCTGAAAATCCTCCTCTTCCTCTCTGTGCTGTTTGTAAGGCAGTGACCTTGACTGCTGATCCCACCCCAAGTCCACGCTCCGGCTGGAGGGGTGGAGGACGATGTCCCATGTGGCTCTCCACACTCTGAGCTCACACTGCCACCTGCTGGCTGCCTGCTGCCACTGTCCATGTGGACCAGATGCCCTTGAATCTGAGGAGTCTCCTTTCTCTCCTACTTGGAAACCCACTGCCCATCGACACGCAAGGCTGTAGACAAAATGTGCCACTTTAGTTAGTGTGTGTCTTTCACGTGGAGTACTTCTTGAGGCTGAACCCAGTCAAGCATTCCATTTGCAGGACATTTGCTTATCCTCCAGCTCCTCTTTCTGGACACAGCCTGATGCTTCTGCCCCATTTACAGGTTATAAAATAACCCCTCTTCTTTTCTCAATGCTGCTATGCCATGGCTGAGGTGCCACCCCCACGCTCCAGGGCTCCTTCACCTAAAATGAACATCATGGCCTTCATGGTGATAAAATCTAGCTTTGAGTGTCCCAAACTATGCATACTGACACCTGTCCCAAACGCAGAACCACTCAGATCCTTGGGATTATTGGGCTCCTGGTCCTTCCTGTGTCCTCATCCATGGCATGCCCTGTGCTGTGGAACGTTCACAGAAGGCAAGGTCCTCTGCACATTCCTGTGGAGACCCCAGCCTCCTCTCCCTGCCAGGGGCCTGAAGGCTAAGCTCTGAGGAGGACAACCCTTGGTACCTGGGCTCAGCCTGGTTCTTCAAGAAAACAGGATAGGAAGCCACATCACTGGCACATGTGGCAGAGGGCCAGGGCCAGGTGTGGATACAATATGCTGGCTAGGGAGCTGATCTAGGTAGTGGGAGGGGAAGCAACCCAGTGAGTACTGTCAAGCAGGTTACCACTGCAGGCACCATGCTGTATCCCACCAGTGACTCAGACAAGGTCAGACTTCCCGTCAGCCTTCCCAAGGATGTGGGAAATAAACTATTCCTATACCGGCTCTCAATGGTCATTGTTTGGAGGCTGCTCTTTGGGTAATATTAATTCCTACCCTGGTGCAGGCCAAGTGGGCCTCTCATACCAAAGAAGGTCTTCTGAGGGGGAAGCTGCAGCAGCGGAAGATGAAGCCATTGCGGTGGACGGCATGAGCTTCCCTGGGTCAGCGCCATTGGACCATGATTTCCAAGGTCTCTGGACAGAGTACCAACAGCATCTGCTACACCAGGCAACAGGCATCACCCAAGATGGGAAAGGGGTGGGTATGAAGTATGGCTGTCCAAAGCCACCACATGGACATCCACTGTTACTCCTGCCAAGCCTGCAGGCATGTGCATACATGGGCTCTCCCACACCTGATTCCTAGAGACACCCCAGATGCTCATACATAGCATCATCTCTCAGCTACCTCCTGTGCTTTATGGCACTTGCTCAGACAGCTGCAGTGTCATACTAGTGCTCATGCTTAGAGCTCACACTCACACAGGGTCCTGTCTACATGCACACTCAGGTGTTGCACACTCCAGTGCTACCCATGCTTACACTCAGCTGTAAGTACCTGGGCATGAGCAGGGGGAGGAAAGGCAGCTTCATCACGGGAGGGGTGAGTCTCCTGTCCTGGGCTCTGCTCTGCTTGATCTCACATTGCACCTCCCAAGCCCAGGACCCACTGTCGAGGGTAGACCTGGGTGCTAGCACATCTGCCTGTCTCTGCTCCACAGCTGGTGGTACCTGGCCCACCACCCACCACCTGGACTGCAGAGGAGCACAGGGAGAAATCTCTTGAAAGGGATTCTGTGTCTCCTTACAGGCTCTGAGCCCCATCAGCCTTTTTCATTACTCAGTTGCAAGTGACAGAAACTCAATCTGAACCTTCTTAAGCAAGAAAGATACATGTGTGTCACATAGTTGAATTGTCCTAGTGATAATTCTAACTTTAGACATGGATAGATCCTGGAGGTTCAAGCATGGGCGGGTATATCGCTTTTCTAGGTTTCATTCTTCCACTGGAACAACAGCTACGAAAATCTCACTCTACATTGACTGGTTCCTGATCCAGAACAAAGAAGGAGCCTCTCCAAAAAAACAAATTTCAGAGAAAACTGGAGAGTTCCATTCTGAGAGAAACAGGTTTCTCCTATGTGTCATGCAAAGACTTGACAATAAATTCCAGAGCAGGCTTCTCTGTGTCAGCCATCTGCCAGACCCCTCCCATCTCCAGGCCTCAGGACCCCCACCCCACTATCAGCTACATAGGCCAAAGCAATAAAGGTACTTAATGGTTTACATGGTTAAACCATAGTGGTAATTTTGAAGACCTCTTATACCACCTCCCCAGCCCAGCCCAAATCCCAAATCTAATCACTCTGGCAGAGAAAGCAGGTTCTTACTAAACCAGTCATTCTCTGGGAGGCCTGGAGAGTGAATAATGCAAATGATACCAAATCCAAAGCTCTAGAGCACAGCATTGGGTATCTCTGTTCCTCCAAATATACATGTGTTGAAGGTTTGGTGCCCAGTGCAGCAATTGTTCAGAGGTGGGACTTAGACAGAGACTGGACCGCGAGGGCACTAACCTCATCAAGGGGTTCATCAAGGGACGAGTTCATAGCTGAACAGGCTGTTAGAAGGTGGGGCCAAGTTGGAGGCACTAGGTCACTGGGGACATGGCTTTGAAGGGTACACCTTGCTCCCAGCCCCTCCTCACCCCCACCCCTCTGTGCCACGAAGCGAGCAGCTTTCCTCTGCCCACCATGATGCTCTGCCTCACCCACGGTCCCAGAAACAATGGAGTCCGCTGGCCCTGAACCGAAACAGTAGCCAAAATAAACTTTTCCTCCTTTAGATTGATTTTAACAGATATTTTGTCAGAAGCAGAAAACTTAACTAAATCAGATAGATTTTGTGTGACCAAATAAATAGTGGCCCCCAAAGACAGGTACAATCTGTGAACATGTTGTAGCAAAAGGGATTCCACAAACGTGATTAAAACCAAGAATGAAGCAGTAGTCCAGATTATTCAGTGCACCTAAGGGTATCACAGGGCAGGATGAGCACACACAAGAAAACAGTGACTTTTTATACTCTCAAATCTATTAACTCATTAGCCACTACTTCATTAGAGCACAGACCTCCTGATCCGATAGATCCTAAAGGTCCAACCTGGACCTTCAATAGGGATTAAATTTCAACATGCATTTTGGTGGGAACATGCAAACCATAGAGGGGCTACAAGCCAGAGAATGCAGGTGGCCTTTGGAAGCTGGGAAAACCAAGGAAGTATCTATCATAAAGCCTCTAGAAGGAACTAGATCAATGCAATTGATTGATTTTGAACTTCTGACCTCTGCAGTGGTCACTACTCTTGGCTGATTCTCCTCAGACTTTGAGAGACAGTGCAGAGGCCAGCAGGCTGGGGCACAGGATCTGGGCATAAATAGCACATTTGGGAAGTGACCTCAGGATGCCATGAAGGAACTGAGCTGGCTGAGAAAGGGAGGAGAGCCAAGTACAGGCTGGTTCCCCCAGAACTGTGAGGGACAGCGCAGAACACACCTCAGAACTGTCCCCCAAAGCAGGAAGCTGTGGTTTTCTCACTGATCCTTAGCTGGCTCAAGCTTGGCACTAAATGTCAGCTGCCTGGCACTTCTAATCTGTCTGCCAACCTGTGGCTGAGAACTCACAAGTGTGAAGCATAAGACACCCCCTGGGCTTGGGGAACACAGTGGATGCAGATAGGGTATCAAAGATGCAGACACTTGTAAGCCAGTCTCTCAACTTTGTCTTGGAGTCAAAGCAATGACACAGCCTGACGGAGGTCCTGTTCTTCTAGGAGGTAACGGGACAGGAGCCAAGCACAGGCTCAATGACTCTCTAGAGTAACAAACAGCTGCAGGGCTGGCCCCACAGCTTTCTCTTTTGCATAATTTCCTTCTCAGCTTCCTGATGGAGGTGAGGCCAGCCTGGAAGCAGGGAGGCCCTGTCCATTCCTCCAAGTGCCTGGCCTAGTCCACCAGGGGAGGCCCACAAGACTTTCCTCCCCTCCAGCTCCCTCAGAACTGCCATGAGTGGGCCCCCAGCCCCAGAGAAGGCTGCTCTGGAGACCATCAAGGGTGACCTCACCAGCTACTACAAGCACAGGGTGGAGGAGGGGGTCTGCAGGCAAGCAGCCCTCACTCAGAGAGCCAGGCAGCTCCTGGGCACAGGGGCCGCTTCTTGGCTCCGTCTACTGGAGGAATTAACCTTTGCTCTGGACGGTAGCTGCTTGGTGGTGCCCAGCCCTGCCCCCAAAGTATGTCAGGAGCTTGTGCGAGCGCTGGAGTTCCTGGAGCTCATCTCCGTCAATCTGCTTCTGTTTCCCTGGAGAAAGGAAATCAGGTCCCTGAAGGTAGGCACTGCCCTCCACTTGAGCAAGGGCATCCCAGGTAGGGGTGGGTTCTTGCTTGGGGAAGAAGCATGTCCAGCATACCTATTTGGTCTCATTTTGCAGAGGGAGAAACCGAAAGCTAAAGAAGTAAACGCAACTTGTCCATAGTCGACAGCTAGTAAGTAACACGAAGGCTCCTCACCATTAGGC